TAGCTTGAGATTAGCCATCACAGTGATCACTACGGTAGAAGCAGCCACATATTTTCTTCTCTGTGAGAGCAGGCAGAGATACATTTCTATCTTTCTCCTGTCCATAAAATAATAATGTAAACAAAGTGTCCGTGTATAAAGACTATAGCTCGGTCAAAGCCTGATCTAGGTTGGTCATTGGTAGCGAGTTTTAGGCCTTATTCACACTGGACGTATACGTTTGTTTGTGCGGCCTGCACGCCCATAAACAGCCGATTCCGGCAAGGGACAGGTGCTGTGAGTGATTGCGTGCAGCAGCCTGTTCTTCCCTATGTACAGTGTCATAAGGACACCCTAACTGCACATTAGTGCGGGTACAGGTGTCCGCACTTGGACGCAGACAGGATCCATCCTGAACCAAAACATAGTATAATTCACCTGTATACACCAAGCAGCTGTAAAGTCATTTATCGCTTTACTAACACCTGCCAAAGTTGCAAAACTGGTTTCAGCCATTAACAAAGAAAGCCAGGATTTTGTAAAGTTAACCCTTGCAGTGGGGCTACCCCGTGCACCACAAGAGTTGATTGCTCTAGGGGCGAAAATAAAGAAGGAATACTCACATGGCCCTAGTTCCTGCATCAGTGAACGCCCGCCTCTCACCCCCTCTACTCTGGCTGTGGTTTATCTCTCGGCATCATCTTCACATCTAATATACCTGTAGATGTGATTATGTCACGGCTCCTTGGAGTGTCAGAGCCCGGGGGAGAAGAGACTGCGGCAGGGTCGACTAGGGTTGCCACCTTTTCTTCAAGTGAAACCCGAACACATTAGCGCCACTAAAATTTATTTGCGGAGAATAGGAGAGAGTGAGGAGAGGCAGCTATAGAGAACTGCAAATCCCAGCAATACAAAATAATGTGAAGCTACATACTCTGTGCTGTTCTGGGTTGGCGCCCTGATGTCTTCAGGTGGCCTGGTGATTTGTGCTGGCTGTGTAACTCTCGGGTGGGCTGTGCAACACTCGGGTGTCAGGGAGCCGGTGTTGTGTTGAATTATATTCCCCTGTAAATCTTGGTTCCCCCTGCCGATTGGCAATTTCTGTAACCCACCTCTTCATGTCTCTTCCCTTCATCTGCATGGGGATCTACATAGCCCGGCCGCTCTTCTATCTCTGGTGATCTATCACATGGAGGAACGTCTCCTCGTTCTTCTCTATGTGATAGAGCACTAGAATTAGAAGAGCGGAGGAGCGATCACAGATGCGGCTGCTGAGGTCCTAGTCAAGTGTGATCTTGGGCAGCCACATCGGCCTGAAACCTGAATCTTTCTCTGAGCTGGGGGCACCTGTAAACAGTCACAGGCTGCCCACAGCTCAGAGCAGTGGCGACTCTAGGAACAATATATAGGGGGGGCACATATCACAGTTAATACTGGGGGGCACTAATAATTTTCACTAGCCTCCCTCTATTTCATGTCCGGTACTTAGGCACTCCCACCTGCTTCAGACCACCACTGACTGTCCGTACGTCCGGGCTGTGGGGGAAGAATGGGAGCAGCCGGACAGGGCCAAAGCAGGGGTTCTATAGTTTTCCTCGACCCCCATAACATTTCTTCACTGTGTCACTTCTGGTGACACAGTGAAGAATCGGCTGCTTTCCTGACGCCCTTTCTTTATGCGCACCTGAAAGTGACATGGTTAAGAAATGTTATGGGTCACGGAAAGGTACAGCACACTGGTGGCAGAGCGATCCTTCATTACTGCAATCCTGGTAGTTCTGGTACTGACTCCAAGCTCTAGGACTACACATCCCAGCAATACATTACACAGCAATGCAGAATACCACCAATTATAGAGGACTACAAATCCCAGCAAAACATAGAGCAATGCATGCGGTATTTTTCTTGAAGACATTTCTTCAATGGATATGCGGTCAGGAGTGCAATGGGTACATGGACTGTAGGATGCCCTGGGACCTGATACTTTTAGCCAGCAATGGCAGCTCCCGTATCTCTGTTCTTGAAGGTTTTCTTTATGTTTGTCATAAACTTCACTCCGAAATAGTGAGGGGAGTTTATCAAAACTGGAGCAGACAAGAGTCTGGCGCAGTTGCTCATGGCAACCAATCAGCTTATTTCTCTTCTTTTCATAGCTTCACTGAACAAACTGAAGATAGAAGCTGATTGGTTACTATGGGCAACTGCTCCACTTCTGATAAATTCCCCCACCCTGTCTACTGTACTAGCAAAACAATCCATCACCATGGTACCTACAACTGCTCTGTGACTGGTCCATCCGCCTGTCAGTCTGGGAAGAGGCTGGACTTCCTGTATTGGCAGGGTTGGCTGCTCTAAGTAGGCGTGTCACATGACTGACAGGTGAGTCGGGGCAGGCTGGCTTCTTCCCATAGTGAGCCACCGGGCACAGTACCAGCCTGCGTGCAGGAGCAGGCACACACACCACGTGCCCTCTGTGTACTGGGCAGAGCTGGGGCTGCTCCCCTGGCAGCAGTACAGAGCGGGGATCGGCCCTATTATGCCTTGTCCTGCCATGACCTGGCACAGCAGCTTTTGTCTGTCTCATGGTTACTTGCGGAGTGTCAGCCTCCAGCCTTGTATACATAGTACAGCTCAGCAAACACATATTCACCCTGATGGCAGGACTTGTATAACACAGTCATCTGTGTTATGAATAGTGAGAGGCATTGCTGACAGGCAGCCCTGTACATCGCAGCTTGTTATTGCTGAATCATAGTGAGCAAGTGGAAGCAGTGTGTTTAAGAGGCTCAGAGAGCCAGAGCTCTGCCATCATACCTCCAGCATCGTCCGAGAACATACACAGGTACCTGGCACTACTTCTGGGTATGTAAGATCAGCTTAGGGAATAGGGGATCTGCTTATCAATGGTTTCACCCAAGATTCACACCTCCCACATTCGATTCCTTTAGAAACATGTGTGACTCCTTGGTGAAAAATAAAGGGACTCCTTAGTCTATGCTGTATTTGTATACACTGGTTTTCTTACTGTGGTTGGCTGCCATTTATGTATAGAGTGTGCGTGTGTGTGTGTATGTATGTATGTATATATATATATCTATATCTGAGGTGTCACTCTTGGTTCTGTAGGCAAGTAGTAAATACAAAGTTATATATTTCATCGTGTAAAAGAGTTATTAGTATTATTTACAATTAATGGAAATGTTTTTTCCTGTGATAAGTACAATAATTTATATTATTTACAAGTATGTATGTAAACATTTTCAAGTTTATGACGTTTTTGAACTGTAAAGACAACTCCAGCTAATACTTAATTTTCACAGGGAAATGTTATAACCTCTTTCCATCTGTCCACACTTACCCTCACTTCCTGTTCACTTCTAACATCAGCACTGAGACAGGAAGTGAAGCAAATTAATCAAAAACAACAAGCAAAACCCAAAAGGGGATTTAAAGGAGAACTATGAGGTGAGTGAAAATCACTCATCCTCATAGTTCGAGCCGATCTGTGACAATGAAACTGTCACACATCGGCTCAATAGATCGGGAAGTGAGCGAATGCATACCGTCGCTCGCTCACTTCTCGATCATATCCCTCCAGAATGCCGTGGCTCCCCGCAGGGTACAGCTGCCTCTAGATAGGCAGAGCCAGCTGTCACTCACGCAGGTGGGTGGATCTCGACAGCATTGTTGGGATCCGCCACGGCTGCGGCGCTCTCAGTATACCACGAGCTGTAGCTCGCGATATACTGAGCTTTGGTCGTGGGACGCTAGTATATGTCCTCCCATGACCCTTAAGAGAACTATGGGGGAAAAACACTTACCCCATAGTTCTCTAACTCTTCCTTCACTCTATCGGGAAAAAAAACCCCCAAAAAAAACCTTTTTTGGCTGGAATTATACACATTGGCATCGATATGATGTCATCACATTTATTTTTATCATAGGAGTCGCTCTTTGACATCAGTAGAAAGTATTAGAAATCTGAAGGTCCTATGAATGCAGCATATTTGCACAGATGATACATGTTTGTTTGTTTGTTTGTTTGTTTGTGTGTTCTGTTGATATAAACAGTGTGACTGCATATTGTTATTAGATCTAAATATTGTTCTTGCTGACATCAGTTAGGGTGGTAGTAAGTAATGATGTGCAGGGGATTGGTGTGAACCCAATTCTGACTTCACCCAATCACTTGTGGCAGGTGCATTCCCCACCCCGCATCTACTCATCACAGAGGGGTGGGGCATGGCCATCCCTATAATGAGGCAGTTGCCTTAGGGGGCATCTCTTGGGGTCATGTGGGTGGGTAACAGACACACTTGCCACCCTCGTACCGGCCACATCATCCCAGGTTGCTAAGAGTTTAGTAACCTGTGATTCTCTGGCTGAGTGGGAATCTCTGGCCAGGGTTCCGCCAAGCTCCTGGCAATCAGTGATGTTAGTGAGCTAGTTATCAGGGAAGAGGTAACCAGCAGAAGCCCCCCGCCCCCCCCCCCAAAACCAAACCCCTAAAACAGCTGCCAAGACCATCCCCACCGCCTCAGTCAGACACCTTTTAGGTACACCTCTGGAGTGGTAAATGTCCTGGCTGCAACTGATTGGGCCAGGAGGGGCAGGGTGTCAGTGACAGTTTTGTGTGGGCTTGGGCAAACTCATAAGTGGGTTCACACCATGCCTGCTTGGTGACCCTTGCAACCCGCTCTTCAGGGTCACAGTAGAACATATACTAATGTCCTCCGGTGACCCAAAACTCAGTATATAGCAGGCTATTGCTCGCTATATGCTGAGAGTGCAGACCCGCATTGCAGCGCTGCCTCTCTGATGGGCTGGAGGTGACCTTTGCAGAAGTCAAGATTTGCATAGTAGAACATGTAATTGTACAGAGACATCCGAGGTCCTTATTATAACTCCATTAGTAGGTTAGCAAATGTATCCTTACAAAAAGCTTACTCTAAATTCATCTTCCTAAATGAGATCTCTGGCATGCTCAGTGGAATCCATTCATCCTGTTCTCAGAATGTTTTGTTTTCTCTCCATTTGCTTAACAAAACAAACATAGGAACTTGGAATATCCTGCCTCATAGTTCATGTTTATAAGAACAGTCTGCGTTTTGCTTTTGTGGAGGCTTTTTGGAGGCAGTGCACTGAATTCTCCAGCTGAAATTGTTGACGCATGTTACAGACCCCACTACTCCAACCAGAATCCTCACGTGTGTATGCTCCCTCAAGTCGGAAGGATGGGTAGCAGACAAGTGGTGAAGACTGTCCTGAGCGTGGAGCAGTCAGAGGGAGTCGGTGCCCGAGTACGCAGGAGTATCGGCAGACATGAGGTATGAGATTTACATAATTATAAAGTACATGGTTAAAAAGGGAACTATGAGGTAACCTCTTTATCCCATAGTTCTCTTTAGGGTCACGAGAGTACAATATTCTAACCTCCTCCCGTGACCCAAAGCTCAGTTTATAGCGGGCTATAGCTTGCTATATACTGAGAGCACCTCAGCCGGGACGGATCCCGACAATGCTGTCGAGATCCACCCAGCTGGCTGATTTACAGCGTGCTCTGCCCATCTAGAGCACATACTCCCCCGTCCATTCCTCCAGTCAGCGCTAGAGGACCGGAGAGGGGGGGAATTCCTGCAGGGAGAGATGACTGACAGTTACCGCTCTCTGTAGGGAGATGATCGGGAAGTGAGCGAGCAACGGTAGGTGTTCGCTCACTTCCCGATCAGTTTCAATGTCACAGGTCGGCTCTAACTAGGAGGATGAGTGTAAATCACTCACCTCATGGTTCTTCTTTAACCACCTTCTGTCCATGGCCATCTGTGAACGGCCGGACGGAAGTCTGCTCAGAGCGGGTGGGCGTCTTAAGACGTCCTGCCCCTCCCCCCTCTCGTGCGCGCGCTGAGCGCTGCACACGAGAGGGAAAACTGTTAGCATGTAAACAGCACAATGTTATAGGGAAACATGTTTTTTTTCAAAATGTATGGTACTTTTTTTGTTATATAGTAAAAAATAAAAACCCCAGTGGTGAATAAAAGCCACCAAAAGAAAGCTCTATCTGTCCCCAAAAAATGGTATGAAAATCGTTTCAGTAAAGTGTTGCATGACAGAATAAACATCAGTCAAAGTACCGCAGCACTGAATACTGAAAAATGGCCTGGCCAGGAAGGGGGTGAAACACTATGGCCTTTAAGTGGTTAAAATAATAATTATAAATAAACATTCTGGTTCCTAAAACTAGAAAGGTTTATTGTTTTGTGCTTTGTTTTTAACAGTACTGGCCTGATTTATAAAAATCCCCTGAAAAGGCAGATTCCGTGTTACCTATACAAGTCAGTCACACCCAGTCATCTTACATGTTCAAACATAAAGTGTATGTAAACTTCTCTCACTTGCACCTTTTTGGTCTACTACGTATACCACGTATACCATTGTACGTTTTCTTCTTTATATCTGTTCAATAGGTGCAAAAAATATCTGTTGATTTTTCTAGAAATCTTGTGATTTGTGCTCTCTGCCTGTGTACAAAGAGGGGTTATGAAGATGAGGAGAGATCTGTGTTCTCTATGATTTACCAAAAAATAAAGAAGGCAGAGCTGACACCACATGCTTAAGAATTTAAGACTCTGTTGCCAAGAGGAAAGAGAGAACACATCAATGGGTATTAAGTGTGTTTAAAGGGATACAGCATGGGCAATGTGCATGTATTTCAGAGATGAAATAAATATGTTTGTTTTTTCCCTAAAATGCGCTTTGGATCCAGGGTATGGATAGTTAAATATTGACATATTCTTAACAAGCAATAAAAACAATCCCTCACTGGCCCCTTTACTTGCAGGCACTGTGGAGGAAATCATTCTCAAATTTGCAGTCCAAGCCTCTTAGTTTTACTTTCACTTGCTAGCTCAGCTCCCTCTGTTATCAGTGGCTTGACAGCCTGCCAGCCATCTGATCTCTAATGTAAACAGATCAGGTGTACAGGAGGAGGGGGAGAGCAGAGTGCTGAGACCCCACTTCATGGACTTTCCTGTTTCTGTTGTGAACTTTGAGGATTTATTGCTCCATGGTTGCTGTAACTACTAGGGACAAGTAAATATCTGTATGTCCAGAGCCTGACCACAGTTCTAGTTTGAACAGGTGAGACAATAGCTGTGTTAAATCTGGCAGCTATAGGTAACAGACACATGTCTTTCTCTCCTATCATGAATCATACGCTTTTTTAAAAACATTTGGTTCCTTTCAAGCTCCACTCCAGCCAAAGTTGTGGGAGAGGGAGGAGTAAGAACTGTTGTCTCTGTTTTTATTTCTGTGTTTGACCACATTTGGGAGATTCAGCCTCTCTTCCTGCCTCTGTGACACCAGGACAGGAAATGAGGGTAGTGGATGTCACCAACAACAGGAAGACACAGAGAGCACTGAAAACTGTACTGTGTATTAAAGGAGAAGTATTGGGATGAACACGGTATTGGTGAGTTCAGCTATCTGACAATGAATGTCCTCAGTGATTGAATCTGCTTATACAGGCCAGGCATAGAGGTCTCACAAGGGATAAATCGCTATCGCAACAATCGGAGTGAGAATAACCGTTCTCCTGGCAACCGTCAAACCCAGACACGTCCATCAGATTGCCAGACAGAGAAGCGTGATTCGTCACTCCAGAGAACATGTCTTCACTTCTCTAGAGTCCAGTGGCTGCGTGCTTTACACCACTGCATCCGACGCTTTGCATTGCACTTGGTGATGTAAGGCTTGGATGCAGCTGCTCGGCCATGGAAACCCATTCAATGAAGCTCTCTACGCACTGTTGTTGTGCCAATCTGAAGGCGACACAAAGTTTGGAAGTCTGTAGCTACTGACTCTGCAGACAGTTGGCGACTTCTGCGCACCGTGCGCCTAAGCATGTGCTGATCCCGCTCTGTAATTTTACGTGGCCTACCATTTCGTGGCTGAGTTGCTGTTGTTTCCAGTTGCTTCCACATTGTCGTAGTACCACTAACAGTTGACCGTGGAATATTTAGTAGCAAGGAAATTTCACGGATGGACTTATTGCACAGGTGGCAACCTATCACGGTACCACACTTGAGTTAACTGAGCGAGAGCGACCCATTCTTTCACAAATGTTTGTAGAAGCAGTCTGCATGCCTAGGTGCTTGATTTTATACACCTGTGGCCATGGAGGTGATTGGAACACCTAAATCCAATGATTTGGAGGGGGGTCCCAATACTTTTGGCAATATAGGGGTGTATACATATATATATCGTACTTCTTTTTTTAGTTATTATTATTATTGCATAGTTGTAGTCATGTGACCCCTCCACACCCATTTTGCTCCTCCTTGTTGTCTAGCAGTGGGCAGGAAGCAGCAATACTTGGCATCCTTGGATTAGTGATGCAAAGAGTGCTGCAAAGAGTGATGCAGTTCAATCTGTTGAGGATTATAAATTTCATAACCAGATCCTGGTGTATCAGAACCCCTATCACTGACTTGGTTTGCTCACACCATAGCACATGCGTAAGCTCACACATAACGCGCACACGCTGTTATGTGCTTTTAAGTTGCACTGCAGTGTGTTTGGTACACACACATTTTTAGTTTTTTACCCTTTTTGAACTTTGTGGTATTCCTATGATACAGCACATTGCGATGAATATGCTGCGGTAAGCAAAAATGCAAAAAGGCCTGGTTTTTCTTGTTTTTTTCAGGACACGGACACAGCATGTGGGTGTGATCTGAAATGATAGTATAAAGCAGATTGCCTTGTGCTAGCATCGGAACTGCTTTGGACAACGATGCCCAACCCAGCCCAAGCGGCTGGTGTAAACAAGTCCTGAGACACCAGTTGCACAGCTTATTACAGTGTTGCTTGTTGAAATGTAAACCAAAAAGTTACATTGTTGCTATCTCCACTGCTCAGGAGCAGCTAACTACATAACTACTTTTTATCACAAGATTACCTGAAGGAAACTTGCATGTTATTGTAACTATTTACATCAGTAGTGGGCAACTCTGGCCCTCCAGTAGAATTATGAGGCGAGTGATTTCCACTCAGCCTCATAATCTGAGCCGACCTGTGACAATGAAAGTGTCACAGGTCGGCTCAGTAGATCGGGAAGTGAGCGAACCCATACCGTCGCTCGCTCACTTCTCAATCTATCCCTGCAGAGAGCCGTGACTTTCACTCACGGCTCTCTGCAGGGATTCCCCCCCGTCCCCGCTCCGATCCTCCAGCGCTGACTATGGGGAAAAGCCCTGACCCCATACTTCTCCTTTAACTACAAATCCCAACATGCCTCTGGGTGTCAGATCTGTAACTATCAGTCTTGCAATGCCTGATGGGACTCGTAGTTCCACAACAGCCGGAGGACAGGCGTTGCTCACTCCTGATTTAACCCCTAATTATCCCCTTTTTATGCCTAACTAGCCCTAATTGGCTACCTTCTCTCCCTGCTTTCTGAAAGCAAAAAAAAAGCACAACATTTTACTGAACAATATTAATTTCATTGGAAAAAACTTTGGCACAAATACGATTAGTACTTTTTATCTACAGCAACATTAGCCATTGCTGAATTATTAGGCCAGTGGGTAAAAGGTGGAAATGCGTGCTCTGGAGCAGCACTGGTTAAGCTTCTCCTCCCATCCTTTCCTTAAATGCTCTCTGTGTTAGTTTATGGTAAAACTGGAGCACATCCAAAAAATTATCAAAATAATTTTTCTCAGGAAGCCTGTCGTTACAGAAACATGCCATAGTTGCCTGGATGTCTTTAGCCTCTGTGCTGACCTGGAATGTGTATGCATCCTTTTTTTTGCATCTCAGTTTTGCTTCCTGCAGTCTTTTTGCAGCTACTTCATGTATTCATTCATGCACTCCAGCGATAGTTGCATGACATTTCTCAGGGCCAGTTTCCTGATGGTGATAGCAATAGGCCATTCTTGTGTGAAGTATGTTAAAATGGGCACTTTGAATCCTGCGTGACAGGGAGACAACACAGTAGCACAAGTGGAAGACAGGGTTTTTACAGGGTCTTCATGGCAGGATCACCAGGTCTAATTTTAATTGAAGGTACAGATTCAAAAATATTTAGTGCCCATTCACACTGAGCGTTTAATCGCGCGATTTTCTGTCGCGATATCACACATATTTGCCGCGTGATATCGCGAGAAGTCACTCGTTCAATGACTATCAATGGAGCTGTTCTATTTTACAGCTCCATGTCGCTCGTCGCTGTCGCGCTTCGCTTGAGCAGGACCCTTTTTCCAGCGGATGTCGCGCGCTTTTTCCTCTTTTTGCATGCAACCCAGCGGTGAAGGTAGCGCGATCGTCGCCCGAACAGTTGCGCTATCCCGACCGCGCGGAAATCCGCTCGAGGTAAGTGTCGCTCAGTGTGAATGGGGCCTTAAAGTGACACTTGAAATTAAATTAACATGGTCAAGCTTCTATGTGATGCATGCACTTTAAGTAATCCTGTCCTGTCTAAGCCATTGTCGGAGTAGGAAAATCAGAAACCCTTTCTTCATAATAATTTTAGGTCATTGATATCAAATATTTGGGCTCAACACATGGGCGCCTGCACCAGTACAGTGTACATTCATATTTCCCCAACAGGAAACCACAGGTGCTGCGCACATCCTCCCATGTAAGTTGATGGCTGTATAGAGTTGTATGTGTTTGCGCATGCGTGTGTGTACAGAAGTATACCTGTCGATCGTTGCGTACAGCCACTGACTTCTATGGGAGTCTTTATACAACACCTGTGGCTCCCTGGTGGGGATATACTGCCAATTCTACATATGGCGCACATGTGCATTATCCCTTAAAGTCCTTCATCATTGATAGTGAGCACTTTTTAGAAATAGCCATTCAAGAGACATTTTACAAAGTTATAGTCCTCAAAATATAGAACATAATCATGCAAAAATACTTTAAAATACACACTACAGCAATTATTATAAAGACCTATTCAATAAAACATGCAATATAGTTATATAGTATATGTACATGGGAGCACCCATATCTCATTACCTAACATTGTAGGAATGTTAATAGTTATGTGTGATTTTCTTTACTTTTTTTTTCCAGCTTAGAAATTTGGATCCATTTCTGATGTTGGATGAGTTCAAAGGTGGCAAACCTGGGGGCTTCCCAGACCACCCTCACCGAGGATTTGAGACGGTAAGAGCTGCCTGTTGAACTGTGATTTGTGGAGGGTTCTTCAAATGGTCACTGGATTTTGTGTTGGACATTAAAGTTAAAGCTGAACTCCGCCCTTACCTCCAGTCTTGCACAATTGTACAGGTTCCTCTCCTGTACTAAAAATGCTTGTCTCATTTCACTGCACGCTGTAAATGTCTCATAGTGTGCAGTAGAATCTGCAGCAGGTAAGATCAAGCCCATCTCATTTACTGCCTGGAGGATGTCCAGCATCTAACTCTTTACTCCTTAGCCAGACTGTCCCTGAACAGCACCTTTTCTTCATTGGATTTTATTTCTTTCAGTCATGGGGGCTCAGTATCACATGTGGGCACTACCTAGGACAGTCTGCATGCAAATACAGTCTGTCTAGGAAAGCCCACTCCTCCAAACTAACACCCACCCATGAAGGCATATTGATATTTGCATAACTCCTACCAAAAGCCAGCCAACTGCTTGCATCAGGGCTGAGGGCTCTTGAGAGGAGTGCTGAGGCATGATGGTGTGATGTTTTCAGAAAGCAATGTAGGACAGGCTGCTGGCTCTTTCCACCAGTCATGATCTGCCTGCAGTGCACAGATACGTAGCGAGGATATTCACTGGATCTAAAATAAGGTATGTAATAAAAAATGGAAAGCTTTTATTTAAAAATTGTATTAACATGTTAATAAAAATGAGGAGCCAGGGAGGCAAAATATAGGCAGATTAAACAGCTTTAAAAAGTACTCTTAGAAGGGGCACATTTTCACCAGATAACCCCTTTGGTTTATAAGTAAATTAGGTTACCCAAGGTTGACCTGTTCGTTAGTGAATAATTAAATCATTGAATAGCACATTGATGGGGTTGTTTTTTTTAATTCACTCACAAATACTGTATCAATAGTAATTTATTTGTATGATTATTTAGTGGTTCACTCAGCAATGCTGCTTCCTTCTTATAGTCAAAGAGTTCAGTCCCCTATGGACTTGTTTGTGCCTTACATGGCTATTATATAGGATACTCTTTAATAAAAGCATAGCCATAATTTGTATATGTGCTTTCAGTCACTCTACCCTCCCTTTGTTGGATTGGCTAAAGCAGAGAAGAGTTACCGTAGAACCCCTGCTAGGATTTTACTGCTGCTAAGGAATTTTGTTGGAAAGATTTCACTTTGCAATGTTGTCACCAGGACAAGTGAGAGGTAATCTCCAACAAGGGACACTGTACCCCCTCCCAAAGCTAAGCGCTTCAACAGTCCCATGCAAAAGCCACCAATAACAGCAGAGTCTCTGGCACTGGCCCATTATAGATTGGGTGTAGAGCTTAGATTTAGGAAGGGGCAGAGCATAAGTAGCTGTCAAGGTGCAGGGTGTGCAACAGGAGCACAGAAATTGATTTGAAGAGTAAGTACTTGTGGGCCCTGCAGTAAGTACTTGTGGGCCCTGCAGTTTAACAGAATTGTCAGTCTATACACATTTTAGGACCTGGCAAAATCATTTTACATATTCTTGTTACATTAGGTGTGTTATTCATGTCTTAAAAAATGTCACCAAAGTACAATAGGTGTACATAACCTGCCCTACTCCCATTCCCCCTGCCTGTCTGCTGCTGCTACCCTCTCAGATTTTACCGGCAATTCCCCACTATATAAATTACAGCCAGGACTTAAATATATGTAAAGACCCGCGTTGAACCAGAAATGTAATGTTAGTGTTATTTTAGTATAAAGTTTATACTTTTTATATGCAATAACTTTTCTATATTTGTCTATAAATTGCACAGAAAATAAAATAATTTTTGCAAGTAAATATCCCTAAAAGAAAGCCTTGTTTGTCCTTTAAAATACCGTTATCAAAGTAATAAAGGTATTACTTTGATATCTTTTATCCTAATAATGTAATGCCACAGTCTCGTTTTCATAGCAGTTTCACTTTTCCAGGCTTCCTATAATTTTGTTTTCTCAGCACAGTTTCAATCCCCTTTGAGGATATTGCGTTAGTCAGTTTCATTTTGCCACTGGGGGATTCTGCCTCCAGTATAGTCCTTTCTCCTCCTCCTCCTTCATCTTTAATTCGCCACCTCTTCCTGTCTATTGGCCAGACAGATTGTAAGAAAATTCCATTGCAACCCTCTGATAGTCACCCCCTCTGTTCAGATGTACCCATCTTTCTGTTTCATCCAGCCCTGGAAGCATTAACCCATTAGTGATCAGGTTGAAGTATATGTAAATTAATCCATCAATGACCAGTCTGCAGTGTATGCATATTAACCCCTCAGTACCCTGTTCCTAGAATATAAGCATTACCCCGTAACACCAAGTCCCCAGCTCTGATGTGTTAACCCCCCAGTGTCCTGTCTGCCGGCATATGTGATGATCCCTCAGTGCCCATTCCTAGGCCCATGTGCATTATCTTCTCACTGCCCTGTCTCATGGCATGTCCATTAGCTCCTCAGCACTCCAAACCCAATGCATGTGCTTTAACCTCTTCAGCACCTATTCTGCATTATTCTCTCAGCTGGCATTACCCAGCGCATGTGCACTAAGCCCTCAGGGGCCAGTCACCAGCATTTGTGTTTACCCTAAGCAGCCAGTCCCTTGAGCATATGCAATTACCGTTCTGTGCCCAGTGCATATGCGTTAACCTCTCAGCACCCAGTCTCCAGCACAGTTGAGACTATCAGTAACATTTATACAGTGCACCACACTAAATATCATTCTTATCTCAACTGACTCTGGTCCAATGGGAATCTTATCTCCACTGTTCCATTTGCTACATAAACATTTTCTGGCAACAAAGCCCTACCCCATTTCCCATGTCCCCAACAAAACCACTACTGTTCCTCCATCATACGCCACCACAATCCACTCCTGCACATACAGACTGCAGTCATACTACCCTTTGCTCTCCTCTTCTCCACATTTTGTCTTCTGTCATACGCTTCATACTCCTCTCCTGCACATACTGGCTGCTGTCTTATCTCTGCGCTCCTCTACACTTCTCTCCTGCACATACTACCCACTGTCATACCCTCTGCACTATTGTCCTGCACATGCTGCCCACTGTCATACCCTGCACACTCCTCTCCTGCACGTAGCCCCTGGTAATACTCTCTGCACTACCCCCTGCACAGACAGTCTGCTGTCATACCTTCGGCACTCCTCCCCTGCACCTACAGCACACTGTCACACCCTGCACACTCCTTTCTTGCATATACTGCCTGCTGTCATACCTTCTGCTCCCCTCTCCTGCACAACAGCACACTGTCATAACCTGCACACTCCTCTCCTGCACATACCTCCCCTGTCTACCCTTTGAACTTCTCTCCTGCATATAAAGTGTGCCGTCATACCTCCCACACTACTCTCCTGCACCTAATGCCCACTGTTATATTCCATGTACTACATTCCTGCACACAATGCCTGCTGTCCATTCATGATATTTTCCTGCATAGTTTGCCCCCTAAGACACTTCTTCAGCATTGTTTGCTATATCCCCAATCCTTACTGTTCTGGAATGGGTACACTATCTTTAAGTAATAATGGTTACCACCGAATAAATGGGCCCTTAGCAGAAATGTAATATTTGCTTTGGTCCGTAAGATATATACAGGGGTGAGCGCTAAAGTATGTAAAATATTAGTCCACCCAATCTGATATTTCAATGATAAAATTACTCTCTTGACTAAGAAAAAATAGCACAGATCAAGTATATTCTCTGGCACTGTTCTTTTTATCCGTGAATAACAATTGTCTGCAATTTTAGGGTATTTGTTTTCAGCTTGTTAAAACTTGTAGAGAGCTTTGATCTGGGTATACAGAAAATTCCCTGGCATGTTTATAAGAAAATTCAGCTAAGCACTTATCTAATCAGAAACAGGTCCTCTGTTTTTGCAGCCCAATTTTTTATTTTTTTTGCTTCGGTATCGAACACACCCTTACTATGCTTACATTAGAAACCTCAATTACAAATGCATTCATGGATTTCTTTCTCAAAACATTATTGGTAAGGGTAGCTGTACTGAGGACCTATCATTAAAATTCACACTTCACATGAATCACTTGACCTAATATCCATATTAGCAAAAACTGAAATGTAATATATTGCAACTTACCAGTCCTTATAGTGGTTACATTCATTTTCTATTTCCAGGTGCTTCTTTTTTTATGTTTACCTGGTGATCCTGTGAATAACCTACTTCCTCTCCATTGGTGCCTACACTTCATTTCTCTATTGTATCTATGGAGGCAGCCATGGTGGTCACTAAGGATGGGCTGGGGCGTGTTCGCAGCTCCACGTGCCGAGCCCGCCAGAAAGCTGACAGCGCACAGCGCCAATCACAGGCACTGAGACATTTTCCAATCTCTGCAGGGAAAATGTCTCAGTACCTGTGATTGGCGCTGTCAGCTTCCTGGCGGGCTCGGCACGTGTAGCTGCAAACACGCCCGAGCCCATCCTTAGTGGTCACCCAGACCGAACTTCAGATATGTCTATCTTTGTTCTTCATTATCACATTGGAGTTGATGGGATAAGTAGTTTACACAAGAAAGCTAACACAGTTTTAGCTGCCTGGGTTTTCTGTACTTACTAAAATGTTCTTAGCCTGAAAAATAAAAGCTAATGCAGTCAACATATAAGGACTGGTAAGCTGCAATATATTAAGGGGGTCATTCACTAAAGAGCCGAAGGATCCAGCCGTAGCTTCGACTGATCCTTCGGCTCTTTTCAGCCGCCAGAGCCCTTCAGTTCAGTCCAACCAATTGGCTGCTGTATGGGCTATTCCCATTAGCCCGCACAGCAGCCGAAGGCAGCCAAGCCGAGCCAAAAGCATGAGCTCGACACCCACCTAATATTGAGTAGGTTACCCTTTTGCCATCAAAACAGCCCTGAAGGTGTGCTGTGGTATCTGCCACCAAGCCATCAGTAGCAGATCCTTTAAGCCCTGTAAGTTGTGAGGTGGGGCCTTCATGGATCGGACTTGTTTTTCCAGCACATCCCAAAGA